TATTGTTATAAATAAATTGTCTCACTTATCAGATCGTGTGTGCAATTCTTGTTGGCGGCGGAAAGTACGAAATTTATTTCAGTTATTTCATTTGGTAAAGAACTCTACAAAAGAAGAGAGCGTTCAGAGTCGAGATCGTTTCGTTTCAAACGGCAATTTAGTACCGTCTTCTGTTTCGCTCTCTCAGCGAAGCCTTGTAAATCGCAAAGTGTTTCGAATAGGCTTATATGCAACTGCATCTCAACATCAACCAAAAGATCATTTTCTTGAGGAACATGGAACGTATCAAGTCTGTTTGAAATTATCTAAAGATTACTATAGTTTACCCCAGTCGTAATGTTGCTATTCCAACACCTCACGACAAGCAATCCCCATTGGCATAACGGCAAAAACACCTCTTCCTTCAAGTAAACAATAAACAGTCTGTTCTTGTTCCATTTGTAATCGAAAAAAGTGATCAATTTTCGAATTTTAAGCTTATCGAGAGCTTTTGTGATGAATCACTGACCTAATTATAGAATCCAACAGCAAACAGCCAATCAGAATGCCGCGTTCGTGGGCGAACGCAGAAAGTACAAAATACCGGGCCTTGCTTGCAGGCCCACTATCAGTTCCCTTGGGCCTGCACGCGGGCTATGGTGAATGAAGTTCGTGGAATTTTAAATACGTGCAGGCTTCAGGATTTCCCGAAATCATGTTTTTCCATGCATACAACGTATATTGTATTACAATTATGTGGAAGGACTATAATTACTGTAAAATGAAAGGTTTATCCAAAATAACTATATTTTACTTTTGAACAGAGATTTACAGGAGGAAGTTCGAATATCAAGAAGAAAGGTTGAAAGACAAAGACAGTCTGAATCCAATTGGCAAACACTTTTAGTTAATCCTTCTCGCTTTTCACAGGTGAATATATAACATAACTGAAGAAACAATACAGTCGAACAACCTCCTTAATACTGACCGCTAAGGGACAGAGCAAAGTATTTGAAAGTGTACTTTTGATAGGTTCGACTGTATGCGGTAGCGATAGTAACCACGGTGAACTTCAGAAGGAAAAGCTGCGTCATCGGAAGGAAAAACCGTATCGTAATTATGTAGTCATAGAGGAGACATGCATGCATGGGCGGATATACCGGTCGGGTGCAGGGGTGCGCAGCCCCCCCCCCCCCAGTGGTGTCTAGCACCCATTTGAAGAAAACTCTGGTATTCCATATTTGAGTTGTGAATACTACTTATTATATTGAAACGATCGATTTTCGATTACGCGGGAAAATATTCAAACACCACTACGGCGGGTCACCATATAACGTAGCACTTTTCTCAATTTTTGCCCGAAGTATACTGTGAGGATAAATTTAACGAAAAAACGTAGTGCTCAGAATGCAGGAAATGGCCGCATTTCCGCCCCTCTGGAAAACCTCCACTCTCTCTAACAGATCCGACCCTGGAAAACTATGTACAATATCAGAGTTATTTATTACCTCCGCCAGGAGATAATAACTCTCAAAAACTATCGGAAATTTTTGAGACTAATGCCCAAGGACAAATTGATCCAATTTTGGTTAAATGTGATTGAAAAATGGATGAGAAATTAGCAAAAGCTTGTCTTGCTTTGCTGTCAGGGCAACTGAATTCCCATCGTATAATATATGCATGAATGCATAACTTAATACGCTGGTGGATGTATGCAGTCTCCGAATGCTCTCTTGTTATTTTATCTTTGTAGAGAACCAACCGTAGAGGTACTCGCCGTGTATCCGTTCATCCGCAGCACCTGCAACGTCTTTCCGCGGTCACATCATCGTCTTCAAACACAGTTGCAGTGAAATCATCAACTTCACCTGTAGAACAGAAAACACGACTTACTAGTGTCTCAAGTACTGACCCTGCTGAAACATTGGAAAATACAACAGCTGCTGAGAGTGAGAAAATCATTCCTGAAAATGAAAACATAAAAACTACAGGACTTACAGGTTAGTACACTTCGTTGATTTTGTTGTTAGGTTCAGGGATTAATACAAGCATTTTAGTCTACTACCGTTTTTTCGAAAGAAGATTGAGTTTTAGAAGGGGAACACTACCCCACTTCCACTAAAACCCCTCAACCTCTGCATGGGAAATTCTTAATTTTGTCTCTATGAAATATCATGATTCAGAAAGCAAAAATATAACCGTTTTAAAACAGTTTTTAATGATGTGTTGAAGAATATACAACGATCTAGTACTTCCTTCCTTTTACAGTTAATTATTCACATTTGCCACATTTACTTCAAAGCACCGGCAATATACTTAGGAGAAAGATTGAGTTTCAAGATTCAATTGAAGATTAAGTTTTTACTACACTACAATATTTTCAGAAAGTAAATTAATTAATAACGTACACAACAAAATGATCAGCAAAATGAGAATACATGAATACATATAAATAAACTTTATACAATTATAATTATTTACAAAGCATCGTATTCTCTGATGTTTTACCAATTAATCCCACTGTAGCCTGCTCGCAGCCCCCACCCGAATTTTTTTTTGGCCTGCGAGCAGGCAAAGCCCACTGTTGCATCTTACGCTACGCATGTCTTGATAACCCTTCGTCTTCTTTCCCCATCCGTTCTTCTGCGCTACACTTAACTCTTCATTTCGTATATCCTCGTTCGTTAGTGGGGTTGTCACTATATCCTACAGAGCAGTTCAAAAGGATAGCTAGGAAACTCTGAATTATATTTTGGGCTTTCTACTCAGTACTGTAACATGGCAGTGTTATACCATGTTATTTAATATATTCAATACTATATTCAATACTATATATTCAGTATACTGTTATAATTATAAGAGGAAGACCTTAGGCAACCTTCCTCGCATGAATAAACAAATATTTAGAGAGATTAAAGAACCACGGGAAACGCCTAGTACCACAAACCACGCAATCAGGACATAGTTTTGTGGTTGATAAACACTGCTAGAACTTGCTTTGACAAACATATTGCGTAGAGGAAATTAGTCATAGTTACAGATTTCTTCCTCTAAAATTTATTATAAAAGCTGAGCACAACCTGAGAGTCGGGAGCGGAAAGTGAAGTGAGAAGAGCCATTTAGGCTAAAATACTTCATAAGCCAACAAAGGCTGAAGTATATAATTAAAAGGCTAGATAATTAAGCCTCGTCAAGTAAACTGAAGAACATTGGAATATTGTGGAATAATTATTAAAGAAGACGGAATACAAAGTATAAAGAATAAAGATTCAAAGTTGTGCTCAGCTCAAACAAATAGAGAGATAAGTTGATATATTAAGATTACTATATTATTATAATATTATAGAGACGCTAATTCATATTGTTGAAAGTAAATAAAATATATAAAAGGTATAAGGTTTCATGCTATTTGTGTTACGGTAGCGTTAATATAATTTGAACCCGAAGCCTAAAGGTTGAAAATACACCTAATTGGAAAATATATTTGACGCATAAATAACGCACCATAACAGTACGTAAAATCTTCATGTTTGAATTCCAAATCTATTGAATGAAGTGGAAAGAGAAATTTGTATAACATAAATAGAAAATTTGATTTCATATTCATGTTAAAGATAACTCTAAAAGCCCATCAAAGTGATTATATTCGTTCAGAAATGATCAACGTTATTGGAAGTAAAATTAACTTATATATTGTTGATGTTGAATAGATTTGCACATGGTAGTTCTTATTGGACTCCCTTCCCTTACTAAAGACGCATCATGTAACCCGAAAATGCGCATGCATGTTATGCTGTCTCTCCAAACACCAATTAGATGTCGTTATTTCATGAAGTTACAATTATACTATGTTTCTCATAATTCTCAACACATTCCTGAATGTTTTGTCGTGACAACCACACAACGTGACAACATGACATATTTCCGGTCAGATGATGTGGTTTGGGTAATATTATCGCTAAATGAGTTGTATCATGTGTACCATATCTTCTTGTTATCAGCTCCTTTATCTGTAGATGTACCAGAAGAAAAGAACGCGAATGCCAAAGAAAAACGTGTGGTGAAAATGAAACCATTTACAATGAAGAATTCTCCTGAAAAAAGTCAACCAAAACAACGAAGTAGTATATTATCAGTAAGTCTCAAAATTTGTTAAAATATTCAGTAATATAATATAAAAAAATTAAAATGTCGATTTGCCTTACAGCAGGAAGAATTGAGCCGCCTGATATCTTCAGAAGGAAGTGAGAGGAAAACTGAATCTCGTGTGCGGGCTTGGGTTAGACAAACAGGTACATATCTGACGTTTTCACATATCGTTGCAACATTTATGGTACCGGTACGATTAACTGAACAGATTTATTACTTTTATATCAATTCTGTTTTTTTTTCTTTTTACAGACCAGCGGAGTGCCAAAACGTAAGTTTGTTTTACACCACCACCACAATATTTGCATGTATAATAGAATGGGTTCGAGTTCTATTTTGGTCAGTTTTTCAAAGACCATCAAGATTCCACGAGTCCTGATGACGAGACCATTCTGAGGCAAAGTTCGCATGTTCGTTTTTTTTTCATATTACGTATACCAGTGACAATTCATGCTATTACTTAGTAGCAATAAAATTCGTATAGTTCTTATGATATTTGTAAACCTTCTCGCGTTTGAAAAAAATGTTTTTACCTTGTTTTTAGGACATTTCTAACCGCTGCTCTTAGTACATTTGGTGCGATACGGTTGAGTAATAATGTAGCAGAGATACCTTCAGAATCGAGAAGAAAATTTAGTGAAGTAACAGAAGAAAGAAATGTCGTGTTACACGATAAATTGGAGAGACAAAATAAGTAAGATTTGGACTATATTCAAATCGATTGTCATATAAATTAGACTAAATTTGTGGACAGCATTGCCCATTAATATGATAATTTTACCTTTGCCAGAAGGATATTTTCTACCTTGCACGTTTGTGTCACAGGATAGCCAAAAATGTGTCGACGTTTTAATACGAACGTTTGTGAACGAACAAATGCTGATTGAATAACAAAGTTTATTGGTGGGCCAGGTGGGAATGCAACTATACCTGATGAAAATTAAATTAGAATTTGAAAATCTTTTTCTTACTTTCCGGTGCTGTGTAAAGGAACTGAATAAATCATCTATGTATGATTTATGCATGATACTTGACTTTCCCTGGCGGAGGTATCCAATCTCTGATTGTCGTGTAGTTTATTACTGGATTTATGACTTTGCTACAACTTTTTTACTTTTTGGTATCTTATTTGAAATTTTTATCATCACTGCATGGTTCTGTATTAAAGCGAATAATTATCATTTTTCCTGGGGTTTCTTTTCTTACTTAAATTGATATAAAATTTGCTTTATTTATGCGAGTAAAGAAGAAGATGGCATATTCTTCAGCGTAAATTTGTCAGACTTGGAAGTTCAAATCACATACGAGACGCTCTGGATAAAATCCGGCACGATAGCTATTCAGATGAACCAGTTGAAACTGGCGAAGAAATGAGACAACGGGTGAGCGAGGAATGTGCATGGTGAGTAAATCAAGGAGTTATAATATCAAAAATAATAACAAAAAAGCTGTGGGTATATGCGAGTACCACTCGTGAGGAAAGTTTACCAAATGTGACGTCAGTAAAATTTAATGTGGAACACTAGCTCTACTCAACACTCGAACCCTGTTTGAGGTAACTTCATTAATGCTCCTGGTTAAATTTCCTGGTTAATTTAACCACAATGCTGGTTAACTTGATCGTAATTCTGGCTAATTTAACCAGTAACCACGATTCCTGCGATTTTTAACCAGAGTGTTTTTATTATATAGTGCGGGTATTCGCAGTTACGACTTAGAGTTTTAGTATTAGTTTTTTCTTAATTACCTGTATTCTAAAAGCTCATTCAAACTCGCACTCACACTCAAAGAGTGGAGGTTCAATCTGAGCTTCTCTTGAGTTTCAATGCTGTTTTTGAATACCTGAAGGTTAGTGGCGAAACTTACTCTGTAACTATACTTATCCTCCAGATATTCAAAACCAGATTGAAACCTCCACTCTTTGAGTGTGAGTGAGCTTTCAGAATACAGGCGAATAAGTCATATGGAGAAGAAAAATAGTGATGTATTTTGCTCCTTTTCCTGACATGTTTCATACATGTTAAAACACTCGTGTTTGTAACAAATGCGTTTCAACCACTAGTTTAGTTTTGATAATTTATTCATTAATTATATAATGTTAAGAACTGTAGGCATATTACGTACCTTTGAAATTTGACTAGCTCCAAACCTCATTAACGAGTTTTACAAAATATCAAAACACGTTTTGCATCAGTGGTAATAAGTCTTAAAAGTTTTCATATTAATGCACAATTGTGAAAAGTTAAGAGGGGTTTCTTTGTATGTTACACCCTCTCCTTGGTTCGATATTTTCTTGCAATTATATTTTATCCGTAATCAGTAGCTGGATAACAGGGATATTTTCAAGCACTTTAGTCTGCTACTGTTTTTCAGAAGAATATCGAGTTTATTTTGAGGGGGCTGACGTTAAAAGATTTTGTGTTCAGGGGCGCAAATTCCAAAATATTTTGGAGGGGTGTTACACGTGGCGCCACCATGGTTGGCGCCGAGCGGGAAAATTTTTAAACTTTGAAATCTCTAGATCGTCGGAAATGGCATTTTCAAAAGTCTAATTTGGCCATCAGCTAGCTGTAGAGCACAGAAAGGAAGTTGATTCAGGCAGTGTATAATGGCAATTAGCAGTTCTATAACCTTACGTACTTATTATTTTTTGGACACTTTCCAAAAAATAAATCTCACGGAAACAAACATTTTGCGTAATGTGTGCACCGGACGATCGGGACCGACATGCAATTGGTTCATTACCGAACTATTTCTCAAAATAGATAACGTGCGGCCCTGTTTGTGGTACACATTTCTAGTGTGCATGGGCATGAGTATTCTTCTACGAGATTTTGTGTCTCAGAAATGAAACAGTTTTCGACAGCTTTTTGAACAAAATTATATAGAAATTTAACAGGTTTTTAATGGAACATTTACATTAAAAAAAATCAAATTGTGAAAAAAAATCATTGTGGAGGAAGATTGAGTTTCAAAACTCAATTGAAGATTGAGTATTTACTACCGTATACCGGTAGTAGAAAAGTGCTTGAAAATATCCCTGTCCCAGGATAGATAATCCCCATTATAAGTTGACGTATAATATATATTGCAGTATTGAACATGTGTTTGATGATTTCTTGATAGGTACAAAGATTTGATAAATAATTTTCCAGATGATATAAAAAATGATCGATATATTAGTATTGTACTGAACAAGATAGCTCAATATGGCTCGGTATGTATTTATTAGTACAATTTACTTATTTCTTCGCCACCCATTTAAGATACTAGTAGAAAGTAGAATGTCGCGTATGTGCATGCGAAAATATTTTTTTTTCAAAATATTTTTGGTGTGCTCTCAAAAGTTACTTTTTTAGCTTTATTTTCTGTACTGTATACAGTTTGCTTACCATTTTTAAATGCATCTGCTGGTTGAGAAACATAGAATTATAATTAGTAGTTAGGAATTTTAAATTAAAATATATACAATTATCAGTAAGCTCTAAAATTAATTGATTCCATGTTTACAGCCATCTAAAGTTTCTTCATTTTCGCATTAATTTACGATTAACAAGGACTAACCATATTTTTAATTTATTTGCGGGTTGAGAGCTAAAAAATTGGTTATGTAGTCATAACCAAGTGGCCCAGTTGCATCCATGGTACCAAATTACACTCGTAGCGGATTACGTTCAGGTGTGTGTTTTGGTTACACCATGCATGACAATCCGGTATACCTGCCACTGCCTAAAAATCACTCCGCTCTGGAAGTGATATGAAAATGATACGTTCCAAGCACCCTGTAACTGGTCGAATCCAGTGGCGTAGCGCTCATTGGTTAGGGGCCCCCGACAGTTAGGGGCCCCATCAGCCACGGTCTATCGCCCAGAAAATTAGAAAACGTAAAAAATGCAGGTGAAGAATCAATGGGAAAATGCGAAATTAATAATGCTAAATAATCAAGCCTCCATCGACGACGGTAGCTGATTTTGTTTATTCCAACTCAAATTAAACAAAAGTTGTTCTTAAAAGTTGTTACATATGTTGGAGACTGTTATTGTTATTGTTATAGACACGGAATTTTCCAGAACATTCTATAAATATTCAATATAAATATAATATCTCAGTCAAACAATGACAACAGGGGCCCCCACACCGAATATGCCTCCCCCTCTTCCTCCGTTACGCCACTGGTCGAATCCGATACATTCCGATCAGCTCGCACTACATGCAGAACCATCCTGAAATTTCAAATTTATATATCTCATATTTTGGTTTCAAACCAATTTTATTTTTGCCCTGCAAGAAGAGATTATGTACTTAGACTTATTTTGACTTCCAAAAAAATTAAGTTAATCTGTTATTTTTGCCTTTCTTCGAGAAAAGAAGTGTTAACAATAAAATAGTCGATCAAAACTCGTCGTTGCCTTGAAGCCCACGCGAAACCACCCAACTTATCAGCACTCGCCCTGGTCACGTTCATGTTGGTAACATTTCTATAATATTCTGACCGTGAAGATATTCAGGTAGTTGCATCATGAGGCCAGCAGATCTTCCCTACCTGCACTGGCAGCCAACATTCAAACGTGTCATTTTAATAATATTTTACTAAAATACCATTTTTGTTGTTTTAACTACCACAGTTGGAAGGAAGAAAAGTAAGTGTTCCACATTTCCTAAAGATTATGGCGACATTACGACCTTGGGAAATTTGTTATCCAGAAATTGCTGCCGCTATAGAGGTCAGTTAATAATAATAGTATCTAATACTTGTATTGCGCATTTTAACATTTAAATATGATTGAGATATAACTAAGATCATAGCAAATATTTTTAAAATATACAGTAGTATGGTTTTCGGAAAAAAGTTTGAAAACCGTATTGTGTGTATTTTTTCTTCTATGAATCGAATACGTTGTTATTTGTCCATGCATTCTTGTTTCTTATATTCATATTAAGTTTGACTTGTACAACTTTAAAAGTTTTCCCTATAATTCGAGCGAGTAAAGTTGAGAGCTGAGGGAGGAGACTAACAGAACTTGACGTGCTTTGAACGTGGCTTTGCAGAAATATACAATTACTTTATGGTTTCCGTGTTTGGATGGCCTGATCCAAACACGCGGGAATGTTGCGAGAGTTAAGAAAAGCGCGCGAAATCACGAGCCGAAACTCGAGCAACATTCCCAAGTGTTTGGATCAGGCCATCCAAACACGGAAACCATAAAGTAATTGTTTTATAAAATAACAACTTTCCATGTTAAATTTCACTTTAAAAAACTTTCACTTTAAATTTCCGTGTTTGGATGGCCTAATCCAAACACGGGTTTCGACCAATCAGAGCACGCGTTATATACGTGTTATTTTATAATCGTATTTCTTATATGTCTTTTGTTTTTTTTATATAGTTTGTACGTGAAAATATAGTTGGATTTTCAACAGTGGAATATGATGATTGGTTCTCATCTTGGAATCCAATAAAACAACGCTCTTCATCAGCTCCTGTCCCTTCATAGGCTGTAATACGACCGATACTTCATAGGCTGTAATACGACCGATACTTCATAGGCTGTAATACGACCGATACTATAGGGAGCTTAATTTAAGCAAGCGACGTTTTTGTGAACACGGACGTCAGATTAATTGCCAACGGAAGACTGGATTAAAAACTTTGTTTGTGTCAGTTTGTGTTAATCTTCGACACCTATATGACAAAACATAAGATTTTTAAAGTTTTTTTCTTCCTCACACGAGCTTTATGACGCAAAATGGCGCCAAACGTAGTTATACCAATTTTCGGGTGACGTCTGTGTTGGCAAAAACGTCGCTTGAAATCAAGTTTATTTTGCGTGTCAACAAACAGTAATTCAACTGACTAACAAGTAGTCCGTACGTGGCCGCGTGGGTCGCTAGTTCTCGCCATCTTGGGAGAGATTCACCAGGGATTGAAATGTGTGCATAATAAAAACTACGGGATAGAGCCTGTTCGCAGGCTAGGATAATGAAGATGAAATAACCATTCTATTCTAACAATATAACTATTTAAATAAATACAATATCTTGTGTGGGTACTATACATTTATATAATTGACTCACCACCAGGACCGCCGGAGGGGAGGGGAGGGGGTGCACTTTGCCCCGGGCCCCCAAAGCGTCGAAGGCCCTTACAATTTCTTGATGAGAAGATTGCTTAACCGAGAGTATAAATCCTATCCCGCTGAGTCGGTGCCTGATAATATGCAATAAGGCTATATTAAGGCGAAATATATCGCAAAACACCGTTTCTCCCTGTTTTACAATTATGACGTCATGGGACCCCTTAGAAAACTTGCTGACGTCGTAGAGCCCCCCTGGGAACGTTTTGCCCGGGTCCCGCTAAACCTCTCGGCGGTCATGCTCACCACTACCAGTAAACACCAGCTAGTGCCGAAATCATCTACCACGCAAGCTCTTATTAGCATAGTCCACAATGTTGCTAAAGCCACTGATGGCAACGGGGCCTTAGTTAGACTTGTTCTATTGGACTTTAGGAAAGCATTTGATCTCATCGATCATCAGTTACTTATGGTAAAGCTCCACTCTCTGGACGTTCCGCCGAGTGTTATAAATTGGGTAAGAGATTTTTTGACAAATCGTCAACAAAGAGTAAAGTTGGCCAATGACTGCTATTCAGAATGGTCCCTAGTCCCGGCAAGTGTACCCCAGGGAACAAAACTCGGTCCTTGGTTATATATTCTTATGATCAATGACCTCAACACAGTCAGTAACAACCTCTGGAAATGCGTAGACGATACGACTTTAGCCGAGATAATACCCAGAGGAGGGGATAGTAATATTCAATCTGAGGTCGATGATATCCAAAACCAATCCAACACCCTGAAATTTACCCTCAACGAGGACAAATGTAAAGAGATGCGAATACAATTTAGCAGATACAACACTCATTACCAGCAGCCTCCCCTAGTGACAACGGTAAACAGGTAGACTTGGTCTTCCAAAGTAAAGTTTTGGGTTTGACTATCAGCAGCGACCTTAAGTGGAATAGTCATATTGATAATATTGTTAAAAAAGCATCCAAGAGATTGTACTTTTTGCGACAATTGAAACGTGCCAAAGTATCTACCACTGAGACTATGTGTTTCTACTGCACTTGTATCCGACCAGTTTGTCGAATACGCATCTCCTGTCTTTCATTATGGTATTCCCATATATCTGTGTAAAGATATTGAACGAATTCAGCGACGAGCCATGAAAATCATATTTCCCACCAAATCATATGCCGAAGCGCTCTCCCATTCCAAGCTTCTAACTCTTGAAGAGAGACGTCAAATGCGTGCGACAAACTCTTCAAAGAAATAATGGAAGTTGCACCCACTCCTACCAGACCCGAATACTTACGTAGCGTATTCCCTGAGAACTTCGAGAACTTTCAAAATTCCTAAATGTAAGACTGAACGATTTAAAAAGTCTTTTATAATTGCTGGTAGTTCTAATAATGAAAGCATCAGTCTCTGAGGATTTTATATATTTCGAAAATAACTGTTAATTTTAACTGTAATTATATATTCTTAAAAACATTAATAGATAGCATTATTAATTGAAATAGACAGTCCCATTAACTTAAAGTTACAATTATTTTTATTATGTTTAGCATTTTTAAGCAATATATAATATATTGTATAATTAAAGGTACGTTTACACGCTGCGATTTGTCGGGCCGATTTTGCTCGCTGTATGTAAATAACCTGTTGTGAGTACTCGCGTCAGCACCTTGCGATTCACAAAATCGGGAGAAAAATCTGTAACACTAACACAGATTTTTCTAACGATTCAACGATTTTTCTTCCGTTGTAAAGTTGTTGAAAACTTTTCGCACGCAGAAAACTATAATATGAATAGACGAGAGAGCGGCAGCTTCAATTGAACGTTTAAATCGCTAAATGTCGAAGAAGGGGCATCGATTATTTACCAAAATCGGCCCGACAAATCGCAGCGTGTAAACGTAGCTTAACTTAAGGTGGCTCCCTATAGTTAGTTAAGCATGGGACTGGTAACGAAAATGCCGGTTCGTGTTTGCGTGGAAAATTCGTGGATGCAGGAAAATTTCGCGCGTGCGGGAAACATGCGGGAAATTTAAATGTCAAGTTAAGGTGGCTCCCTAGGGTTTTATTTCCGGGGGTTACTCTTCGTATATATGTAAACTAAAACTTGTGTGACTTCGAACGAACGTTGTGTTTTTATATGGAACTCTTTTGAAACAAAAGTGTGAACTTTGCTTTAGTTGAAAGCATAAAAAGAGTTCTAAAAGACAAAACGATACTTGGATGTGATGTTTCAAAAGAAGATAATGTAAACTTGTTTTTTTTTCAAGCGGTATTCTGGAAGTTTTTTGAACCGCCGTACGCCAGGTTCGATCGCGAACATTGGGATATGATATAAAGTTTTCTCAAGAATTTGCAGTGTTTTCTCCACAATCTAGCAGCACTTATGACAATAAAGATGACTTAAATAATGAGCCCTCTACTGGTGAAATGAGCAGGGTCGAAACTCCAAACATACCACCATAAAAACTGAAATTTGAACGGGCATTTTGCGAAAACATCCGACGTATGTACTAACTCGCACGGGACGAATTTTGACAAACATTTTTCAAATTAATACCAAGAAATCATAACTAATAATTACCTAAATATCTTTGCCAATTTTACATGTATAATCCACGCTTAGTTGACCAATAACCGACACAGTTATAAACAGTATATCAAACATAATTCGTATTTTGTGATTTCAAAAAAGTCATGTCTTGTTGTTTTATGCAGAATGCCTGTACACGTCAGTTGGGGTATTAAATTGTTCGCGTAAAAATCTAGTAAAATTGCGAAAATTAATCCCAAATTTCTCCGTTTTCCTTCGGTAAAATTTTTTAAAACTTTGCACATTTTTTAGTACCGGCACAGCAAGTGCAATATCCTTTTTTAAAAAAATTAAATCGAAGGGAAAATTTTTAATATTGATTTTTGACGTTTTTTCAATTTTCTAAGAAACGTATCGATTTAATTTTTTTAAATTGAGGGAAAAAAATCATTATACAAGTATGACCTTTTATGCAAAGTTTTAAAAAATTTCACCGAAGGGAATTTTTAAAATGACCTGAAAAAGACAAATTTTGGGCTTTATTCTAAGCATGTTGTTGCCATGACAACAGATTTTTAACACAAAAGTTGGAATTTGTAATGTTCAGGAGAACATTGTCAATGTGTCCAATAAATTTCGTTTTTATGTCATGTAACGTGAAGAAACAGGAGTCTCCTGAATACTATAGTGTAGTAAATTAAAAAACCCTAGGGAGCCACCTTAAAGAGCAATTTCAAAACAAACATGGCCTCGCGGTTTAATAATCGGCTTTCAGACGGCAAGTTTGGCAAAGTTTCACAAATAAATACTTCCCACACGAAGGAAAGGCTACCAAAGGCAATAAATTCATGGCGAAAAACAGCAAGAGTAGAGTTTGAACCACCACCGAAAGTTCCGAAGCTCGTAAATACGCGAACGGTGACGGTATGTACAAGAAAAGAAATTTCATATTCAATAATTTCGCTGCATTTCGATAGAATTTTCGCTAAACTTACAAGTAAAATGGTTGCTCTTGATAGGAACAACGGAAAATAGAGGAAAATATGCCACATGGAGCGAGAATCATCGATATTGATGTTTTGAAAGGCAAGCTTCAGAAATGTCAATTTTGTCTAAAAGGTAGCTGCGCGGTTTGACAATTTTTTATCACACCTTTTAGTCTATATTTGTACAAATTTAACACAGTATTTTACTTGATTTTGTTTGTTTTTCTCGTCCAAGCTACTAAAGAAAAATACCTGAACACTCTTATGCAAAACAAATCAAAATAGTAGCAGCTTGTACAAGTCAAAAACAAATAAATAAATATTTCACTTGATTTTTTACAAAACAAATACATATTTCACTTGATTTTGTTTGTTTTTCTTGCTCAAGCTACTAACAAAAAATATCTGAACACTCTCTTATGCAAAACAAATCAAAATAGTAGCAGCTTGTACAAGCAAAACAAAGAAATAAATATTTCACTTGATTTAGTTTGTTTTTCTTGCCCAAGCTACTAACAAAAAATATCTGAACACTCTCTTATGCAAAACAAATCGAAATAGTAGCAGCTTGTACAAGCAAAACAAAGAAATAAATATTTCACTTGATTTTTTACAAAACAAATACATATTTCACTTGATTTTGTTTGTTTTTCTTGCCCAAGCTACTAGTACAAAAAATACCTGAACACTCTCTCATGCAAAACAAATCAAAATTCTAACTACAAATGCTAACTACAGTATAAACAGCAACAGAACATCATAAAACATATTCAATCTTATAGCCTATTTTGTGTAAAAATATGAAATATCAATTCCTGATACTAGTGTAGTAGAGAACAAATTTATTTATATACGTCTACATATACCAGACAATTTAAAATTCTAAAATTTAGGTCCAATATCCTTGGCCAACATTATTGATGAAAAACAATATGGTTTAGCAAGTCAGTTCAGAGTAAAATGCCAGTTCTGTTCCAAGCAAAATATAATTAATACCTCAGCATCTCATAAGTCTGGCAAGTCTGGACCAAAGGCATATGATATCAACTCTAAAGCTACATTGGCTAGTTTACATGCAGGGATTGGTGAAACACATCTAAAAAGTATTTTGTCAGTAATGAATATCCCACCAATGAGTCGAGCTTCCTTCAAAGCCCGAGAACGAGGAACAGGGAAGGCTGTAGAAGCTGTCGCAAAAGTCTCATGTGAGGAAACAATTGCAAATGAGAAAAAACAATTGATAAGAATCGGGGAAGAACCTGATGAAAACAATTTAGTGTCTGTTCCTTGTTCCTATGACATGGGCTGGCAGAAACGGGGAAAGGGATTTAATTCTAACACTGGTCAAGCTGCTACCATGAGTCAAACTACAGGAAAAATTTTTGATTATGCTACAAAGGTTAAGAAATGTCGAACTTGTGAGTATGCACAACGTACCAGTACAAATGCAAAGGTTCATGATTGCCGTAAAAACCACACTGGTTCATCTAAAGCCATGGAGCCAATATCTGCAGTTGAACTTTTTAAAAATGCTCCAAAACATGGCATTAAATACTCCACATATACCGGTGATGATGACTCGACAACTGAATTATATATAAACCAACAAGTTCCTTATGGTGTTGAGAAGTTCAGTGACATAATACACATTAAACGCTCACTCACAACAAGATTGTACAACCTGAGCAAGATGGCACAGATTAAGGAGTGCTCTTCACTGTCATCAAAAGTTATTGAATACCTTGTTAAGTGCTTTTCAATTGTGGTTGCCCAAAACAAAAGTGATCTTGAGGCGATGAAGTCGTCCCTAAAATGCATTGTCCTACATTCCTTTGGTGACCATGCTAGTTGCAATGAGTCATGGTGCAGATATAAACAAGATCCCATTGCCATTGGCAAGGACTTGTATGGCACTGCCTTGAAGTCAGCCCTTAAAAACATCTTCAGCCAGTATTACAGTGACACCATGATTAAAAAACTTGGTCCAGCTGCCAACTCCCAAAGGAACGAATCATTTAACAGCACAGTAGGCTCCAAAAACCCCAAGATCAGGTACTACGGTGGAAGTGAGAGCAATGACTTTCGGGTGGCTTGTGCGGTGGCTCAGACCAATGTTGGTTACGGTTATGTTTGTTGCACATTCAAAGCATTAGGAATAGATCCTGGATTGAACTGTACCAAATACACCTGCAAAATGGAGAAAAAGAAAAGTAAAGATATCGACAGAAAAAAACTCAATTTTATTCAAGCAGCGCAGAAATCAACTTCATAGCCGAAGAATCCAAGGCACTGCGAGAAAAGAAAAACAAGAAGGCCCAACCTATGAATCAGGTATTGGTATGAACTTGGAACAGTCAGAGTCTGGGGCTACTATAACTGGAAGTGAATCGATCACAGGGCTACTTCAGTTAATCAAGGGAAATGTACCAAAGGAAACAATAACTGTTTATGAAGGAACAATCTCCCCATTCACCCCAAGGCCAATTTGTCCGAATAATGAATTTGACAGTAACTTAGAGTACAATATTATTGTGTTTGATGTCGAGACAAACACAACAGGTAAAGCTGCCCAGTTGTGCCAGCTTTCAGCTGTTGATAAGACCGGCCAAAAGTGTTTTTCCGAGTATATTTTGCCTGACAAAGACATCGACAAATATGCCACACGGGTAAATAAACTGACAGTAAAATTAGTTGGTGGCAAACGAACACTTTTTAAAGATGATGTAGCTTTAAAAACACTTACCTGTCAAGATGCAACTTCTCGATTTGTCAACTATATTCACAGCTGCATCGAATCCAGCAAGGCTAGGACGAACAAAGGTGTATGTGCAGTTCTAATCGGCTATAATGCAAGGCGTTTCGACATCCCGATATTGCTTCGTAACAGTGCCAGTGAAATTCACGCCAAAATGCAAGCTTTAGGGATTTGTTTTGGCGACAGTCTTCCATTGTTCGAGCACCTGATAAAGATCAAACATCCAGCGTTAACCCAATCAAATGGTCGAAGATGTTCGTCAAACAAGTCGTCGATCTACGAGGGTTTATTCAACGAGAAATTTGCTGCACACGATGTCGAGTCGATTTTTTTTCACGTTCGCGCCTGGTCGGCTGGTCGCGCCGAATTTAGGGGCGAATTTCTCGTGTTTCCTTCGGTGAATTTTTTTAAACTTTGTATTTTTGTTGTAAAAGACAAGTGGTAAAACATATCCAAATTTCAAGAAATTCTACAAATAATTTTTTCTGTAACACTTATTCATGAATATCTCGAAAACTTATTTATAAATTTCCTTTAAATTTTGATATGTTACTCCTTTGTAGACTTATAAATGGTAAAAAAAAATTCAGAAAAATTAACCGAAGGAAAATAAAAATATTGTCGATTTATTGCGAAATTTGACAATAAAAGCGCAAAAGATAACATGACATAGTTTCCATGGCAACACTAAACACTGTTCCTACTTGTCCATATATGGACAGTACAAAGCTTCTTAACTTCCCTGAAAATGATCATATTGCCCTACCTTAAATGTATTCAATATAAACATGGTCGGACGCGAATGTTACCTAAAATATCTCAAATTTTAGAAAACTGTAGGGAGCCACCTTAAACCTTTCTTTTGTAAAATGTAACCGTTGTAATTCAGCCTCTTGGCTGCAAGATCGGGTTTTTTTTTTAATAAATTGTAATTGTATCAAGAACAACCTTACCTTTAATTTGCCCAGTGTGCATGTTGCAGCGTCCCGTTCAGATTTTCTGTACGTGTACACTCTTTTTCTTTTGGAGGGCACAAACCTCCTAACTTACAATTTTCAACAATTACTTGACAAGGGACCATTAACCAATGAGATGCCCACAGAGATAGCGGTGGTCAAATCTGAACTTCTCTTTTAAATAGTTTGCTTGTCCAGTAAATTCTACCATTATTTACCATTTTGTTATTCTTTTAAGTTAACTTCAAAGTCAACCATGAAGGAGGGCAACATTAAATCTTTTGGCATGGTCTCGGTTCTGTGAGGCCTGCAAGAAAACCAGCTTTCGTGAATTCACGCATATGCTACACGCCGTTCAATTTTCCCCGAGCCGGCGGCGCGAAGCGCCGTGCGAGGGTACTAATTCCCCCCGGCTATTTACACCCGGGGAAACGAAAGCATTAGCGGAGTCTAAAGTTCATCAATGAGCGCGGGCGTCGGTCACCAACGATGGGTGGTCATCCTCACTGATCTCAAAAATATGGCGGACTGTCATGAATAACGGACACTGATTGGTCCAATTTAAAGTTTGCATTGTAACGACTGTATGACGACAGCGAAATAGCAAACATTTCTTGATTTGATGAGTTGATGATTGATAAATTTCTTGCAAATATTCTTCATTTTTGCTCGTATATCTGCAAGATTTTGTAAATTTCAAGAAAGAAAGGGCGAAAGAATCAGCTAAAAGAAGGGAGCCGACGTTAACGAAGGTAAGTTTGTTTTAAATATTGATTTTATAATGGCTTTAAAACCCGATGGCCTTTGCGTATATGAAACAACTAAACAAGACAGCATGTAATTTCAGTGTATCTTTAATATTGATTCCCTTTTTTATTATATTGAATTTTTTAAATAAAAAATAAAGCAAAGTTATTTGCAAGCGAGAATTTGAAATCATTTTATTGCAAACTCAAAGTTTATCGATAAAGCCATTTAATAGTTAAAGGCAGTTTAGTTTTATAAAGAACAATTTAAAACGTTTTGTGAATTGTTTGTGGTTGAATTTTACCTTAAATTGAAGCTTGTATTAAGATATATGTGTTAGGTATGTAATTATACGTGGGAAATTGATAATTTTGTAATTAAAAGTGATATTTATAGGCGATTTTCATTTGTAAGAAAATTCTTAAAAAATTATCGTGTTACCATGACAACTACTTTAGATACTTCATGTTCGGAAAATACAACGGTTTTGTCAGCAAGGCGAGGGTTTCTGCATGCATGTATTTTCTAGTTGTATAGGTAAAATGTGATTGGTCAACGCCATGAGTTAATGGACTTCTTTACGGCCGAGCGAATAATTATCCCCGAGCCGGCGGCGCGAAGCGCCGTGCGAGGGTACTAATTCCCCCCGGCTATTTACACCCGGGGAAACGAAAGCATTAGCGAGCGAAGTCTAAAGTTCATCATTAGCGAGGTTTAGCAAAGACGACGCGACGTCAACCACGACGTGAGAATGGCGTAAAAATGGCGTGCGCACATCCATAGATGGGCATATCACGCCATTTTTACGCCATTTTCACGTCGTCTTTGACGTCGCGTCGTCTTTGCTAAACCTCGCTAATGAGCGCGGGCGTCGGTCACCAACGATGGGTGGTCATCCCACTGAGCTGTATAATAACTGGAGGACCTGCTCCTATACTTCGTTCAGTCAACAAAGTGTCGCCAAAAACATGGCGGATTTTGAGTGAAAATGACGCCATTTCCATGACAACACTTACTTTATTTTCATGGTAGGTACCACTGACCAGGCTCATTTCTGAGCCCACGGCCGTTTTCACCCCCCCCCCCTGATCACAGAGTAAGGATATACAGAGGCGGAACTCGAGGCAAATCATGTCCCCACTTTTTTAATGCGCATGCGCGACCCTCTGGCAAGTGTCATGCACATTTTTTATCAGGAAAAAGATAGGGAAATGCAAAATTTTGGCAATAAAACGGCGATTTTAAGCGCAGAAACCGATCGATCTTCATTTTGTGCACGAATTTTGCAAATAAATAGCACACTGCGTCTTCTTAGCAAAAGGTAATTGAACGAGTACCATTTTTAACGGCGAAAATGAGAAAAGACATCCGAAGGAGTGAGAATTTCTGGCAATCTGAAGATTCGATTCTGTAGACCTGAACTCCAGCTGGAACTTGGCAACTTTATATGTGAGTTTTTTTCTCTAGCTCATATATATCAAATTATCAATATATTTTTGTGAAGTGCAATGTTGTATGAAAGGGTTGTCGTTAATTTAAACATTGCATAAACAGCATTCAGATACGAAAAATATGAACATCAACATTCAACATGGACTGATGGACTTGGACATGGAGCCACAGTACTCTAAAGTTCTCATATAGACTTTATTTAACTTATATGTTGACCCAATGGTGAGGGATTGGTCAAATTATACTTTATAGTGATTCCCCTAGATTAGTGCATTGGTTTATATTGTGCAATGACAACCTTTTTTTGGCTCTCAAAGGTCAATAATTTCTCAAACATGCCAAGTCTGTACATGTTTAATAATCTAATCTGTTTATTTTTTATTTTGCTTTTCTAGATTGCCAATCATTCCTGCTGAACTACATTGTTCATTACAATGAATCAGATGCAGATTCTTACAACATTTACTATGTTAATTTGTTCACCTGATTGGGGAAAACCTGAGACTATTTGATCTTATATTGGAATGCCTACCAATTTTACATAGCCTCAGGCAATGTTTATATAATTAATCTTGAGTAATAGAGATGCTGCACCCCCTGACGGAGTGACCTTACTACCTGGATCATCCCACTAGGCAAGACAAGTTCAAAACTTTCCATGCAAACACTTGCATGGCAGTTGCTATAGTAGGATATGAATATAGTTTTGCCTTGCCAGGGTGGCTCGGGGGGGGTAGGATTTCCCTAGTACCTGGAGACCATATAGACAGGCCGTCGGATTACTGTAATAGTTTAATTGAGGTTCAAAAAAGCAGCCCCCCCCCCAAAGTGGTAGGTCTGCTCCCCAAATCCAGCCCCCCTTGGAAGATGTACTGTAAAGCTAGACAATTTTACTTGTTAACCCAACTTTATTATTCTGTCTAACACCGGACAATCCAGTTAACCCATTGAGTTGCATTGCATGTGCCCTGATGCACCCTACTTTATTATTTTACTCTGTCTAATGCCAGACGATTTTACTTGTCAAGGGGTGAGCACACTTTAACAGGCAAAGTATTAATTGGGAATACTTTCTATTTTAATGGGAAACTCTTTATCAATAAAAGGAACAATGCAATTATTCATAGTATTTAATTT